CGAGGGGAAGTTTAAGCCCAAAGATCCCTCTAAAAAGTGCTACCTATCCAATAATGCCCTAGCCTTTCTGTTCGACGAAATTCGATATGAAATGGGTGGTGAGCATGTAACAGTTGTTCGAAAACCTGGAATTACAACGGCCCTTAAAACAATGGTGTCGTTTGGTGCTTCACAGTTGAAACCCCTGCTAGCTTATGGTTGGGGGCTGGCTGAAGATAAACAGCATCTCATCGATTCCACAAGTCACGTGTTTTCTGGTAAATTGCCTCTAAAGTATTTAATGGGTTTTGCCGAGGACTATACTTCTTCTTCAGCGTCAAGCAGGAGCTTATATTGATAATTGCTCGTACCTTCGCCAACTGTTATATCGGTGAAGTGGAAGCAGACATCACATTCGACAAAATTGAATGGAAAATTCGTCATATCATTCCCAACGATAATCATAAGTTGAAAATAATGTCACGCATGAATAAGGGGGGCCAAAGTACCAATATTCAAATGGCTTACCGCAAATGGGACCTTTACGAACTTCCTCCTTTGCGTGAGACTTCAGCCGATATTTGGACTTTAAGAACTAGCAACAGTTTGGAGCGACCACGCTTTCTTATCATCGGTTTCCAAAAAAACGAAAATTGTGATAAGAAAGAAAAAGACGCCACAGAATTTACTACGGCTGATGTGAGCGACATTCGCTTATACCTGAATTCCTCGGTATATCCATATGAAAGATGGAATCTAGAATTTTCAAAGAAACTGTATGCGCCAGCATATTACAACTATGAAAATTTCCAAAGCAGTTACTATGGACGTGAGATGAACGAGCCAATGTTGGATTTTGCAGAGTATTTACAAAATCCTGTGTTTATTATCGATTGCAGCCGACAACCAGAAGCCGTGAAGTCCTCCACAGTGGATGTGAAAATAGAATTTCAAACAAGAAAGACCAAATTTCCAAAAGACACTAAAGTTTATGCATTAATAATTCATGACACTTATTTTAGTTATAATATGTTAAATGGTTCTGTAGCAAATAGATCCCTGTATTAGTTTTTAAGTTCAGTTAGAAATAGATATAATTTATGTAATTTTTTATTTATTTAAATAATAAACGCATTTATAAAACCCAGAAGTTTAAATCGATATTATATCACGTGTGAATTGGGTGGGCGTTAGTTTGTACTTGAGATGTATAAGAGTGTGGGGTGGTGGTATCGACATTATAATATTGAAACGTTTGACTGAGAAGTCATTCCTATCACCGTCATCATCATCATCATCATGGCACAACCTGAAAGACCTGTGAGTAGAGGCTCATCCATTTTCAGTGACGAGACGGAGCGTAATTATGGCGATAGGGATTTTTTACTAATGATGCAAGACTTGCGGGACATGGAGGATTTGCAGGATGAAGAAGATGCTCGTAGTCAAGTGGAGCCGGACTCGAGCAGCGACTGGCCGGAACCAGTTCCGGAACCGGAAGATTGCTCGGGTCCCGCAGACTCAACTACTGGGTGAATTATCCCACAAAGTCAGTAGTTGTACCCTAATTTATGATGTCGAATGCTATACCCCCCCGGAAATGAAATGGTCCTTTTTAGGACCTCAAAAAGATTCATCGTAGTTAGTTGATCATAACTTTTTATCCATATATTGTTGGAGAAGTTGTGTGCGCTTATATGTACAAACATAAATAAATTGTGCTTAGTGTGTGGTTAAACAAAACACGTGTTGCCTCGCCTACTCCAACTAGTTTAAAATATGTTTGAGTGTAGTTTCGCTCAAAATTATTTGTTGGTAAACACTCATCACATTCGATTCTCCCCAATCAAAGTGAGCCATGACGATACGCGGTGTGATTGAAGAAAGAAGCAATTAGTAGGTGCTTTTCATTGACTATACTCGGCTTGTGAAAGCATTCAGATTATCTACGATCAACGACATTTTGTTAGAAGGCAGGTGTCGGATTTATTTTTGAAAGGTCGTAGACAAACGTATTTTCATACAATACATTTTGTAAAAGTGCAGGTGTTCCGAATAACTGGGATATTTTGAGAGCATAAATCTATCCGTCGAATAGGACAATAGGCTTTTGACTACAATGGCAAGTCTCGAACAATTGGGACATTTTGTTAGAAGGCAGGTGTCGGATTTATTTTAGAAAGCTTTTAGAGAAATTTCATACAATACATTTTGTATAAGTGCAGGTGTTGCAAATAACTGGGATACTTTGAAACCATAAAGCCATTATTTTGCAATGTATTTAATTGTTGCTATAAGAATTTTCATTAATAAACTATGTAGAAGCAATTTGTAAATTACAGATGGTAGATCACATAAATACAAAACTTTTTTGTCTCATATAATAGCGTTATAAAACCACTAGTTTTTGAGTTGCAGGTTATTGTTTATAAAAGAATTTGTTCAAATAAATTCATAATTATATATGCTAGAAGTAATTTGAAAAGCATAGACGGTAGACCTGATGAATACAAACTTTTTTGTCTCTTTCAATATTGACGTAAACAATTCAGTTTTCGAGTTATAGCTAATTGTTGCTAAAATACTTCACGTATAGCGAAAGAATCCTCTAATATGTGATAGAAAAAAATTTTTGAAATAAAACATATTCCAATATCCTTATACTTTCTGCATAACATAAAGTCGCTTATCACAAATTTAAAAAAATCTAAAAATTTAAAAATACTTTTTTTGTGTAGGGTATCAAAATTTTTGTAATGACTTCAGGAAACCGAATTTGAAGGGTGGTTCAAAAAAAAAAATGTATCTAAATTTTTTATTAGACCATCGCTTGGTGGTATGTATTCGCCAGAGCTGCACTTGTTTCGATCAGGTTTTCGTGCGGCTTGGTGTTTATAACATGTCTATAAAAAGCCAATCCTTCTTGATATACATCTCTCATTTGGCAAACGACACACATTTTGATTTTAGTTTTGCTTGATAAATAATTCTATGAACCAATCACTAAACCCTTAACATCTATCTCTAATGACGTAAACCAACAAAAACAGAGCAAACAACCAAATGCACAAACAAAACCGCGAAAGCAGAGTGTAAGCGTGTCGATTGATCCATCAGAAATATTTGAGAAATCACCATCAATGGCGGAGAGCACGTCACACCAGTAACTACAAATATCTACACCAATAGATGCAACGAGAAAGGAACACCTATTCGACACACCCCCATCATCAATTACATCCACTACATTATCCGATGTATCTAGTGGTAAAACATCTACAAAATTTAGGAGCTATCTCAACGCACTTTTGAGCGGTCTTAAAAAAACACCATCTCAGTATGATACCGTTTATGGGGTACATTACGGTAATAAAAATAGTAAGGTCAAAAATAAGACATACATTGGCAATAAGGAAGTACGTTTTCCTGAAGGAAAAGTATCATTATATAATGACCTATCGAGAAACATTGCTATATTCGATGGAAGCAGCGAACTTTACGATTTGCTGTTTTTAAAAAGTCCACCAGTATTGGATAGATTGGATGACATGAGTCCATCTGTACGTCAAAATTACGCAAACATTTTAGAATTAACGAATGCTGCATACAACCGCTATGATGAAAAACTTGGACTGACGGAAACTAGATGGGAAAAATATTTGAAAATCATAAAACCTTTGATGCAAAAGACGAAACTGGGTGAAGGCATTCGCAAAAAGAACTATAAATTTACCATACCACAAAAAAAACTTCTATCATGTCAACATCCCGAATATGTTTATTGGAATAAGCCCAAGGAGTTGGTGAATAGATTACGTTTATTGATGGGAATCGCTATATTCTGGTATGCATCAATTGTTACTCCAAGTATGTATACGCTAGAGCTATCAAGAACAAAACAGGTGTTGAAGTTACTAGAGCAATGAAAAGTATAATAGAAGAAGCAGCATACACACCAGCAAATATACAAAGTGATCATGGGAAGGAATTTTATAATAAGAATTTTCGAGCTCTTATGATGGAACACAGTATTAATCATTATTCAACATATAGCACGATGAAGGCCGCAATTGTAGAGCGGGTTATAGGGACCATAAAAAATAATTTATATAAGCAGTTCTCCGCCAGGGGATCCAATAAATAGTTACATCTTTTACCCGCAATAACGAAAACCTATAATAACATCGAACCATTGGCATGAAACCCATCAATGTAAAAAAAAATACTGATTTAAATATGTACAATCATATCAAAGTGATGCCTAAAAAATATAAATTTCGTCTGGGAGATATTATGCGGATAAGCAAATATAAGAGTATATTTGATAATGTTTAAGATAGTGAAAGTTAACATTACCAATCCACCTACATATCTGCTGGAATCCATGGATAATCAACCAATTAAAGGATGTTTCTATGAAGCTGAGCTGCAGAAGACGAGAAGCCCAGATGTATATTTAGTTGAAAAAGTTCTTCGCGAACGTAAAAAAGACAATAAAAAACAATTATATGTTAAATGGTTAGGTTTTCCGAATCAGTTCAACTCGTGGATAGATAAGTCTGATATTGTTTAAATATATACATATTAGTTTTAATTGTATACCTAGTTGTAAAATATAAGGCTTATAAATAAACAAGTTTTTAATATTTTTTGGTTTTATTTCAGATTTAATATATGTATTAGTACAAAATTGTTAGTAAAAGTTTAGAAACAGTCATAAATTTTCTGTACGGTGGTGAATCTAATAAAGATGGTGATGATGGGATTTGTCATTCTTCACTTAAATCCCAATGTGATCCTTCTAGGCTAAATGACTCGTGGGAAAAAGATGGTGGAGAATCTTGAATAATTATTCTTGATGGCGGTCTTCGGGGGGTTTGCCATTCTTCTTCTTCTTCATCCAAATCCCAACGCTGTCCTTCTTGACTAAATGAAGCATCGGAAAAAGATGGCAGATTATCATGTAAAAATATTGGGGATGACCTTTGTGGGGTTTGCCATTCTTCTTCCTCACCCAAATCCTAACGCTGTCCTCCTTGGCTAAATGAAGCATCGGAAAAATGTGGCGGAGAATCCCGTAAAAATATTGATGATGACCTTCGAGGAATTTGCCATTCTTCTTCACCCAAATCCCATCGTTGTCTTTCGTGGCCAAATGACTCATGGGAAAAAGATGGTGGAGAATCCTGCAAAAATATTGCTGATGATCTTCGCGGGGTTTGCCATTCTTCATCACTCAAATCCCAACGTTGTCCTTCTTGGCTAACTATCGAGGATAAATTTTCGCTTTGCTCTTGGGGTGAGTAGATTGGCACATCTGATAAGTCGATAACAACATCTGATATGGGTATTGTTTGACTTGGCGACTAGACGAAATCGGTGTGTCCGATATTTCAATTAGTGCATTAGAATTCACCAAACTTGGTGATAGACTGCTTTGCTGTTTGGCACCGGAAGTATTCATTTTTCTGATTCTTAACTTTAACTGTTGAAGGTGTCGACAAACTAATGAGTTTTAACTTAGATATGGGGGTATAAATACTGGGAGCTTCGGGTGAGAAAGTGGGGGTCGATGGTGAATACTGTTAAAAAATAATGAATATCCATTTTCTCAAGGGCGCTTTTGTCATATTCTTACTTTGCTAGCTGCAATCATACTATCAGCCTTCCTCTCAACACCCAACAATATTTTCATATCCTGTTTCATTCGCTTTTCCAAATCAGCTATTTTCTTCACAGTATTTTCTTCCTGTGCATCATATCTTTTTATTTTATTTTCAAATGTAACCATTCGGTCATCAACGCTTATCAAACTTTCATGAATAGCCTGATATATTTTGTTTATTGTCTGTGCTAACTCTTGGCGCACTTTATGGATCTCCGTCAACACATATTGTTGGGTAGTAGCATCATCACTGGTTTCCGGTATTGCAACATTCATCAAACGCTTTCCCACATTATTAAATTGATCATTGGGTGTTTGCACAAATCCAATTCCCGACGCACCACGTAAAATTTGAAATCTGCCATCATGAACTGTCTTCTGGCGACCAAACTTATCTATTGTTTTGTTAACGCTCCCCATTTCGATGAAGAAATGAAGTTATTAACTCTTGTGTCGATATTTATTAGCTTTTTTTCATTATTTTCCATCCATCGTTCTAAATTACGTATTTTTTTATCATTCTCCAGATCTTTGCTGATATAGATGTTTCCAATATCTATTTTTTTATCTGTGCTCTTAAATCTTTCGTTTATACGGTTTTCTAAATCATCTAATGCATATTTCATTTGTTGATGAAACAACCGAATTTTGTCAAGCACAAACTCTTGGGTACTAACGTCATTATCTGCTATCGGTTTTGCAACATATGATAGACGCTTCCCTTCAATATCATAGTGACCATCAAAAGTTAACTTGAACCCATTTCTCTGTGTACAACGTAAGAACTGATGTTTATTATATACTCTTTGTCGACCAAATTGATCTATAGTGTTGTTAACACGTCCCATTTTCAACTAGAACTAACCTTGTAATTATCAACCATTTGCTTATATGGGAAACTAACCAAGAGTAAAGGATGAAAACAAAAACGCAAACCAATATGTACAAAAATTTATTATTACAAAGGTACAATTTACTAATTTTAATTATTTAGGTGCATTATTTTCTTCTTGAGACAATATTTCTAGTTGACTTTGAAGGTGACAGATCGTACTACAAACGATGCCGGCGTGTGACTATGGCAACTTTCCTCAATCGGAAAAGAATTTATATGCATCTCACGGTTGGTGGGAGGTGCTAACACCTGAATATTCAAGGTCGAATAGTTTGGAGAAGTGCGGGAGGGGAATCCGTTGTGGATGTTTGTGGGGGGTGCTAAAACCTGACAATGGGCTCTTTCACTAAAATTTAAATACGTAATTTAGGTATAAAATCCCAAAGGAGGGACTATTTTAGGCACATATACCAAAAAAAAAATGTTCTACAAGGTTAAATAAGTTTTTTACAGGCATTTTAAACTACCAAAATTTGAATTATTTAAAAACGCGCCGATTTGCTGACGTCGCATAAATATTTTTCATTTCGCTTGTTGTTGCAAACAGCTGTCCGCCTCTGCTGTATTTATCCTGTAGTAAATGCAGGTAAAGGTTCGAATGCGCTGTTGTCGGTGGTGACTAAATGTAGTGCAACGTAAAATAAATAAATAAAACTAAACATAGAAAATTATATTAAATTGTGTTTAAGCATAATTTCAATAAAAATGTTATAAAATCTTGAATCCATAACTAATTAATTTAAATACTTTTCATGATATTTTGGGAACATTTCAGAATTAAATCTATTACAAATTTTCAATGTTGACAATTAGTGGCAACACGGTCAAATAGCGAGCTGCGACGTCATAGAAATAAATTCTGGGTTTTTATTTGGAGGTATTTCTTTTTTTTCTGTTTTCTCAAGAAGGACTATGAATTTTTCAAAAGTAAAAATACAGAAAATTCTGTTTTTAGTTGCTTTATCCAAATATGCCAATTTCAAAAATTAGTGAAAGAGCCCATTCAAGGTCAACTATGTTAGAGAAGTGGATTTTCAATTATACACACCTCAACTCAAGATCAAAATATTCTGCGATCTTGAAAATATTGTAGGAAATTCATGGTCACACCTCAAGTTCACATACCAACTTATGGGTCGCACAACTGACCTTGAGCAACTCAAGGTCAAGGGCGTCAAGGTCGACTCAAGGAAGCACACGTCTACGGGGGCACCTGAGCCTGGGAACTTTTTCAATACCGTGGGAAAATCTCTAGATCGACGCCGCCTTTGATCTGAAATTTCGGGGACAACTCAAGGTCAAGGGCGTCAAGGTCGACTCAAGGTCGCACACCTACTTATGATCACACAAGTGACCTTGAACAACTCAAGTTCAAGGGTGTCAAGGTCGACTCAAGGTCGCACGCGTCAAGGTCATGTGACGTCAGAGGAGTGGTGGGTGGCGTCAAGGTCATGTGACGTCAGAGGAGTGGGGGGTGAGCCGTAATCGGGCTTTGGACTCTACTAATTGCGCTTCGGAGACCATTACAGACAAGAAGTATTCAGAACTCAAGTTAAATCAAGAGTTCAAAAACCCGGCGAGAGTCTACAAGAATTCGAATCGGAAGTTAAAAGGCTAGTGAGTTTGGCGTTTCCTGCAGCTGGGGAAGACATGCAGGAATGGATGGCAGTATCTGCATGTATTGATGGTCTCAGAGATTCGAAGATCCAGGAAAACCTGAGAATGTCCAAGTTCAGACAAAGTAGCGAAGCTCTTGTCCGAGCATTAGAACTGGAAGCAATCTTTGGTGCCTCACGACCCAGAATACGAGCAGCGTCCATTGAAGACCCAAAAGATAAACAGTTGTCAAAAGAGGATGGTAGCTTCGAAACTAAAATGAGTAATTTCATGGAGAGAATGGAGAAACTGTTACTAGAAGATAGAAAAATGGGAAACGATTCCAGAGAAACACCAACCCCGAGAAACCGAATAGAGTGCTACCGGTGCCATAAACTTGGGCATATTCAACGAGATTGTAGAGTGAGGATGTCCTCTCCATCAAGGGATCGTTTCCAACGCTTTTCGAGATCGAGAGACGCCAGCCCTAATAACAGACAGGGAAACGAGAACTAACCAGTATGGAGGGGCGAATGCTGGTTAGTAATGACGAAGCCCCCAGGGTTGTTTACATAAAATCATTGGGCATAATGACTGAGGATTAAAATTCGAAGGACAAATCAATGGAGAATTGAAAACCATCACTTTTGATACGGGTGCTGAAGTTTCCATAATTAGAAGAACATTAATCAAGTCTCGGGCAATCCAACCGTTCACTAGAAACCTGTCACTACGAACAGTCACCGGCGAATCTGCACCAGTTCAAGGAGAAGCGATGGTTGAGCTCACTTTTGGATCTACCACCTTCAGGCACAGAACATTAGTCGCCGATATAGAAGATTACTTTATTTTGGGAATGGATTTGATCGGCCAACATGGTTTTTCCTTTGATCCTTCCATGAACATCCTTAAAGGACCCCGCACGCCTTATAAGGGATTTTGGCGATCGGTCGATTTTTTTCAAATTTTGATATGTTGTAGAGGATTTATTTCTTAACAACCTTTAAATAGGACGATATCTTGTAGGTATTACGGTCTTTGAGATATGAGCATTGAAAGATGAACTTTTTTGCGACTTTTTGTGTGGAGAGTATACGAAATACTGGTGCTGGTGTTTATCAGTCAAAATATTGACAGGTTCACATATTTTACGTCAGTATCAAATTAATGTCAACATAGGCTAAGGCCGGGACCGCACTGGGGTCAATGGTGGAGCCAGTGCGGTCTTGGCCTTAGCCCATGTGACATTTGTTAGTGACGTAAAATATGTAAATCTGTCAATATTTTGACTGATAAACACCAGTATTTCGTATACTCTCCACACAAAAAGTCGCAAAAAAGTTCAACTTTCAACTTTCAACGCTCATATCTCAAAGACCGTAATACCTACAAGATATTGCTAAAAGGGCCTCCCAAAAGCTGGGGGTGCTATTTCGTACAAGACATCTGTACACACCAAGCCAATTGCTGACACTCTACAAAGCCCAGATTCGACCAACTATGGAGTACTGCTCACATATATGGAGTGCAGCACCCAAACATACCTTAATGCTTTTGAATACCGTGCAAAAACGAGCTATCAAGCTGATCAATGACTCCGCACTTACTCGTAACTTGGATGGTCTCGAACATCGCAGATCTGTGGGCGATTTATCTCTCTTCTACAGGTACTATCACGGAAAATGCTCTGAAGAGTTGGCACATATGATTCCACCGAGAGTAGCACCTACCAGGCGAACCCGTCAAACAGACGGTAACCATGAATTTACTGTCAAACTAGAGGCACCAAGAACCTCATTATATCAGAATTCATATCTCTGGAGAACAGCATCGCTGTGGAATAAACTCCCTGCGACGGTTTTCCCTGCAGGTTACAACCTGAACCGTTTCAAGACCAACATACACCGACATTTCCGCGCACTTTCCGCTTCTCGAGCGTGATAGGACATTTCCTTGCGAGTGCGCATATCCGTAAAAAAAAAAAAAAAAAAAAAAAAAAAGATTTCGTCTTATGGCTGGTTTATAGAACATTTGCATAGTCGTAATCATAATCATAGTCTTAGTCATAAGAGTTAAAATAATATTTTCTTATGGAACCGTTTATACACAAATCATAATCATAAGCATAAGCATAACTCAAAGTTGGCAACTTTTAACTTTTACGATTGTGACTAAGACGAGATCCAAACTGCGCAAGCGCCATTATCAGCTGTTACAGAGAAAAACAATTCAAATCTGCTATTTTAGTTCTGTTTGTATTTAAATTGATCTTGAGTCATTCTAGAGTACCTATTTAAAAAAAAGGGTCTCCATCAAGCTTCTACATGTCTTTGAATAATGTGGCAAAATGCCGTTCCTTCTGCCTTTTTTTATTGATGGGACTCACTTTCCACCTTCTTTGTTTATGGTTTGCGTTTGTTGAAGTTGTTTATTCGCAAAACTCAAAAATAAATAGGACAGACCTATCACTTGTATGGTTTTCTTTCGCAGAATTTTAATTTCCACACTTTTTGAAACTTTGAAAAACTATTAAACGTAAATAGACGAGTTCGATTCGCAAAAAGTAAACAAATTCTCCCTACAAAAAGTCGGGTTAGAGTTGATTCTATTTTATGCTTATGACATTGTATAAACGCCTTCTAAAATTGTGATTATGATTAAGACTAAGACTAAGACTATGATTATGATCACGACTATGCAAATGTTGTATAAACCAGCCATTATTTAAAGGTTGTTAAGAAATAAATTCTCTACAACATATCAAAATTTGAAAAAAATCGACCGATCGCCAAAATCCCATATAAGGTGTGCAGGGTCCTTTGGTAATGAAGAAATTGTCCTAACAACACTAGAAGAATCCGATGCCGTTAAGATCTTGGCCACAACCCCATTGAGGATTCCTGGAAGTACTGAGAAGATCATTTGTGGAAGATTAGAAACAAACCCTGGGTGCTGCGTTGGGCTAACACGTAATTTCATTGGAGATAAAACAGAAAGATTTCTTGTTGGAAAGACTCTAGTAAGAACAAATGGAGACATTATGATAAGAATTTCCAATGTTTCTTCCGAAACAGTAAGAATAAAGGAAGGAGACATTATTGGAGCTCTCGAACCAGTGAAGCAAATATCGAACTGTGACCTACCAGATAAGCGACATTTTGTGAAATCCAAATTGGATACAGACACCTTGATGCGGACTTTGGCGAAATCATGGAAACATCTCGATCCAGATAGACTTCAAGAAGCCACAGATTTCATTTTGAAAGAAGCAGACGTATTTGTGATGGACAATCAAACCGGACGAACCAGCTTAATTCAACACAAAATTGATACTGGATTGGCACACCCAATTAGACA